AGGCTATTGTACTCGCTGCTTTCGCCGTTGTGATATGTCTTTAAAACAACAGGGGGCGGTCAAAAGAAACTGACGTAAAGTCAGACGGATAAACAGAAAAGTAGAACATTTCCGGAACTACGTCATTTCATAATGTCGTTTTTATATTTTCAACTAATGATTCTTTATTGTTTTTCTAAATTATTTTAATGATTATTAGCATTTTTAAAACCATTCAAGATTTTTTTAAATCAGATCACCTGCTTTTGTTCATATCTCGGACAGTTTTACTATTTAAAGTTTATTATTATATTAATCACAAGAGATCATGGGTTGCTCTACAGATATATTTTTATTATGGCAAGAATAAAAGCAAAAAAAAAAAAAGAAATTATTTTTTTGGAAAAAGATTCTTTTTTTGATTTAGCCCGCTCCACAAATATATAAATCAGTGTTACCGGTGGGTAAACATATTCTGTATTTGTAATAAATGACAACAGAACATGAACTATTCTACAAATATATGTTTTATTATCACAAAAAAAAAACACACTAACTAAAAAATACAGATGATTTTAGATTTAGCCCGCTCCACAATTCACACATTATTGTCTGGCTAGTTTCTGTCCTCTTCTTATGCTAAAAAGACAATAATAGTCCAACATTCCTGACCATTATCACCAATAAAGCCTAGAACCATCAGTATATTGTAAACCGATAGGTTTAAATATTCCTTCCCAGTTATCAAAGAAATGCTTCTGTGACTTCATTATAGTTCTGTAACTTTTAAACTTTTTAAATTAAACCAAATATATCAGTGTAAAACCTATACATGGTGGAAAAACATATTCTGTGATTGTGTACCTGTGATTGTCTCCACTTTTGCCATGGCCTCTTTTGGTTTTAATAAACTTATCCTTCAGGTTTTTCCAAACCTTTTAACAAAAGCTTTCTCCTTTCACATGGATGTTGCAATTTCTAGGCAAGAATTATTGGTCATTAGGTTATCTCTCTGATCACGGGTCATAAGATGTGTGCACAGGCATTCTGTTTCAGACTAAATCTCTTCAAAGTGTTTCATATTCAACTCAAATCAGTTGCGGTGGCGCCGCGCACACTGTTCACTCGATGGGCATTTTTTGAGACTCAAGTTACTGATTTGAGTTGAATATGAAACGAGATGAATATGAATAAGATGAAAGACTGTGTAAATGCAAGGGCTGCCAGTAGCAGCAAGCTAGCACAGAAACTCCATTGAAAATACTGGATTAAAATGTTCATATTTTAAAGACATGACACAGACAAAAGATTATTTAATGTAGTGCTTTTTATCCGGTTTGAAACACACTTTATGTTATATATTAATCAGGCAGTGAATATCTCAGCTTTTTCAAGAAATCAGATCTTCAACATGGGCATTTTATAATGTTCACCGGACATATGCTTGGGCTGGATTACTGAAAATTAATATTCTGTGCCATTTGAGATTATTAAAAGCAGAATCTAAACTGATCGTTATCCTTAGGTAGCACGGTGGCTCAGTGGTGGCTTCACAGTAAGAAGGTCGCTGGTTCGAACCCCGTCTAGGTCAGTTGGTGTTTCTGTGTGGAGTTTGCAAGTTCTCCCATGTTGGTGTGGGTTTCCTCTGGGTGCTCCGGTTTCCCCCACAGTACAAACACATGCGCTATAGGGGAACTGATCAACTACACTGGCCGTAGTGTATGAGTGTGTGTGTGTGTGTGTGTGAATGAGTGTGTATGGGTGTTTCCAACTACTGTGTTGCAGCTGGAAGGGCATCCGCAACACCAATATATTCTGTACTGTTAACATTTATTTAGTTTCTCTCTATGATTCTGTGTTTAGCCTCTCACACTGTGCTCTGGGTTAATTATTTTATGCTGTGTGTGTGTGTGTGTGTGTGTGTGTGTGTCAGTGTTGGATAAGAAGGTTATATACTATCATTTTAAGCCATCTTACTTTTTAAACAAAAATCCAAAATGACATAACACACACCTTCACACCACTGTCCTTAAAAAGTAACACATTTAGTGTTTTAAGTGTCTGCAGACTAATATTTGACTTTTTTCCCAACACTGTGGCTTTTATAAGTGTTGTTGAGATTGAGGAAGTGTGTGCGTGTGCGCGCGCGCGTGCGTGCGTGCGTGCGTGCGTGCGTGTGTGCGTGCGTGTGTGTGTGTGAGTTCATTCAAACGCATGTTCAGCCTGTGTTGTTGGTGTGTGTGTGTGTGTGTGTGTGTGTGTGTGTGTGTGTGTGTGTGTGTGTGTGT